TCACCAATGTGAAGAATCCCAAGTCTGTCTGAGTGCGAAGCTGGTGGAACTACAGCTGTCGAAAATGTTGCTCCTCTTGTTGTGTGAACCTGAGCTTCAAGAATTACTTTCTCAGAATACTTAGAGGGGAGAAAGGAAAAGTTCATACTTAAGCAAGAGTCAAGCATAATTTGTTATCTGCCGTGGTATTGGTGTGACTGATAGCGTTTGTGTTCCTGGTGCAGAGAGCTCACTCCAATTGAAGAGGCTTCAGTGCTCAACGAGAAACTGAAGGCAAACTACGAGGCTCGAGTGGCGCGTTTGAACCCCAGCCAAGCCGTGCAGAAGACATCGCTGGTGAGCCTTTATCTAGCTGACTTTCTGCCTACTTTGAAAGAAGCTGGTTTCTTTAAGCACTGTAAATGATGGCTTAGGGGAAGTCTTGTTTGAGATCCACAGATTTTAAAAGCTTTTTTATTTTATGGATTCTGTAATACTGACTGTTATTTTATGGATTCTGATATTACTGTATATTTTAGACACTAGGAGCCCCCTTAGTGTGAGATATCAGATGGCCAACTAAAAGAGAGCTGAATCTACCGCAAAGAGGTACACATATTTTTACACACATACCCATAAAGAACCCTGCAGTGGAATGATGTCTCCCCTGGATGGGACAAGCCTTGGGCTCTCCACTGCTTCCTATGGCACTTGCCATGATAAACAGATTTCAGATCAGACTGAAGATTACATTACCCCTTAAAGCTCACATGGCTTCCCAACCCTAAATTAAAAAAATGAATTCTGGAATCGTACAGTATCTGTCGGTTCATCACAAATAATGCAATATATTTTCATGTAGAAATGTATCTGTGTTAAGAGCTATGGTCTGGTGTTTCACTGTTGTATCTCTTCTCCTCTGGCCTGCACTGTCAGTGAGAGAGCACCCAACTCATTGAGGCAATGCAGCCAGGTGGACACAGTTAGTGTAGCCACTTTTTTTATTGTAGGTCTCCCGATTTTCATCAGAATTTCCACTCAAATTGCAACAGATGTTTTGGCAGTAACGGATAAATAAATTACACTGACCTCCTTTTCCTCTTTCACAGTCGTTGTTTAAAGTGAACACAAGTAAAAAGGAAATTGAAGAAATCGCTTAATTTCTGTCTTAAGAGAAACATGAGTCTCGGTACTTTTGTTTCTTCAGTCGAAGAGCAACCTGCATGTTAATACGGTCG